CGCGAAATGTTGTTTGTGCCAGCCAAACAAACCTATATGGGGTAGTTGATCACGGTAGCGCGGGCTGTTGACTGGTTGGCGGGACGCTTCGACATCCATGTATGAGGGTCGTTCTTGGGGTATTTTGACCTCTGCGTGCTCGATATCCTGAAGAGATACAGGTATGAACGTTATTCAGCCTTGAGACGGGCATTGGTGTCCCAGGAGTGATATAGGCTGACTCGAGGACCGTCGCGCCCTCGGTCAGGTGTTACCCTATAAGGTATTGTTTGGCTGGGACAAACAGAGACGCGCGAAACGCAGTTTCCGGACTTTTATGCAAAGCACTGTAGGTAGTCGAAATGTTCTGTTTCTTTCCAACGCTGATTGCGACAGGAGTAGATATCTGTACTTAACCGAGCCACTTGTTCAAGTTGTTGTCTACTGCCGCCGACCGAGATGACAACGATCCTGCGAGGTTCTGACCCTGACATTCTGACTCTCTATTCCACTCACCCTCTAGAGCCCGGTACTGTCGAGACTCTGAAGTCGGACTTTGCGCTTGCTGCCCACGATCGCCACGATCCATTGGTCAAATTGCGTGTCTCAGATCGTACGGACTTCTACGGATGCACTCCGGAAGAGATACGACGTAGGCTGGAGAAGGAAGCCGAGGAGGAAGGTAAAAGCGCGAACGACGTGCCCTCGTTCCTGGTGGCGGACGCGCAGACTAACGACGACAAGAGCGTGATCTATGCTGGAGATTGGACGCAGCGCGAGGGTTTCTCGGAAGGGGCCTTGGTGGAACAGCCCAACTGGCCGAAAGAGGGCAAACTCCCCTTCTTGGAAAAGTTGCGCGTATACATGCATTAGTACGTACGGACCCGGACGTGCAGACTGGGGCTCTCGGTAATGACTACTCTTGTGCTTTCAGTGCACCCGTTCTCCACGTGAATCTGTCCATTGTGAACTACACCATTCCGGAGTTATGGGAATACCCGTATGATCCCACTAAGCCGATGACCCCACCGATCGACGGTGGGGCGGACTGGAGGACGCAGCCTCCGCCTCCTGCATACGTTGTTGCGTCTCCAAAGTCCTTTGTGGTTTCTGATGATCCCGAGAACACTGCCGATTTCATGCCGAGGCCCGACAGGGTATACAAATTGACCGACGATGCAGCCGAGCGACTTGGCCTAACCTCTCGCTGGACGGTGGGATGGCACGATGCCAGGGACCCCCAGGGACACATGCGATTTGCTCAAGGATGGAAGACGAATTAAAGACACGAAAGCCGTTGTACAATAGATGTATAAATATATAAGTTAAGTCCATAATAACCAGAACGAAAAGCCCTGTTAACCCTTATAGCTTCGCTTTGCTTGCGAGTCTTCCTCCCGCCTCTTCAATGGAACGCAGAGCGATTTGCCCCATGATCGGGAAGAAATTAACAGCAGCTCTCACGTATACGTGATCAGTGCCGCTCGTGGCCTGTCTTTGGGCATATCGTGCCGCAATTCCTTGGGAATTGACCGCCAGCTAGTCCGGGACCATCAGGTTTCATTCCGAATACCCGAGACAGAAGTACGCACCCGCATGAGCATCCAGCTCCTTGCGTAGTTGATGTCGGGAACGGGATATGACATTTTTGTCAGCTTGCAATATTCTCGCTCGAGGACGTCGAGCTCGATAGGCTTGTCCTTCGTGTTTTTCAGACCGTCCAGCGCACCCCAGCGGACCTCCTTCGGGATGAACTCCGGGTCGATACACCAAGGCTGGGTGAGACACGCAAGGTCTGCGAGCTATCAGAAGGGATAGGTTAGGAACGCCATCTATCAAAGCGGGAATCCCTCGTACGGGGCTACCAAGTGTGCACAATTCCCAATCAAGGATGCCGATGATGCGGTTCTCTGTCGGGTGGAAGACTAGGTTTTCGATTTTGTAGTCTCCGTGAACGATCCTCAGCCCTGTCTTCCGCTCATCGGGGAGATGGGAGCCGAACCACTCCATCACTTCTTCGAACATGGGCAGCTGTCCCACAGGTTTTCCCGACCTGGCGTCGGTGATCTCAGCCTGTGCTCGCGAGATGCGACCGAGAGCTTTGACTTGTCTAGGGAAGTACGGTGTGTGTGGGCCCAGATGCGACAGACCAACTTCCGCTGGGTCGAGTGACGATAGCGCTGCGAGGGCTTGGATCGCCGATAGCCAGCTGAACCGGACGCATGTGTGTCGGTCATTGAGCAATGATAGATGTCGTGCGTGAACACTTACCATTCTTTCCGGTCAGCGGCCGGGATTTGCGCCATCTTCGGATCGGTGAATATCCGCCCGTCCAGGAATTCCATGAGATAGAATGGAGTGCCGATGACTGTTAAGTCTTCACAGAACGCGAACGGTTCCGGGACGGGCACCTTCTTCTCCGCAGGCGTGGTTGTCCTGACGTTATGCCAGTGGATGGCTTCGAGGATTGTGTATTCTCGCTCGATTTGGTGGGCGGCATTCGACACTAGTTTTCCTGCTGGCTTCTTGCGCAAAACCCAGCGGCTACCCCTGTTCTCAATGGTTAAAACGAAATTATACGAAGACTTGTGGGATCCTGACTTTGCGTCTATGAGGAGGTACGTCGGATTGGACTATTCGCAATGGTCTCGTTAGGTTCAGGAAGCTCCTGCCATACTGAGTCTCACCTGTCCCCCCTAGGTATCACGATCGGTTAGAACTGTTCTCTCAAGCTAAAACGGAAGTAAATGATTACCTTAAACTGCTTCACGGCCACCGGGGTCTTGATCTGGGGGATATGGTCTGCGATGTACAGGTTCAAGCTATCTATATCAATGACGGCCCTGATTTCGCCAAACTCTCCGCCTATCTTGCTGCTGCCGGAACGGGAGCTGGATGCTGATGAAGGTGTGGTTTGCATGGCGACAGTTCCAAAGGGAAAAGTTGAGACGAGAGAATTCGCCGATAGGAAGGGTTCGAAAAGGGTAACGAAGGGACGGCAATTTAGGGGATGAAGTGGTGCTCGTCTGACCAGAGGATACTAGTCTTATACACTCGGACTCATTGTGGCCAGGCCATCATATCAGAATTGAAGCAACTCCGCCCTGACGATAAACCAGCCTCGCCGCAACATGGGATGTCAACACTACGCCCAGAATCTGCGGTCTATGGGAAGACTCAGTAACTGGCCAGGTATGCGACGCTAAGGTCATTGAATGCCGTATCACACGACACAAGATCCACACCGTTATGTGAAGGCATCTGATTGGGTGGAGACAATGCATTCCTGGTCGCAAGACAGCCTCTGAAACGGGTTAGACGGGCAATTCTGCACCTTTCAGGTGTGATATTGCCGGCACATACGGGGAGACTTGAGTACTTAGTTCGTGATATGGATCCTCTACGGCGTACGGCCGTAGTTTTCCATCGCCCATCCGCACCCTTGAGCGGACAAGGTCGACTGAAATGATTGAACACAGCAATAGCCACCGCGGGCTCTGGGGTCCTGGGTTGGCACCCCTCAACATAGTGTATATACTGCAGCGAGTAAACCTCAAATACAGCCCTTAGGGCGGAGGACTCCTATCTGTTGACTTACCTCTTTACAGTCAAGAGGAGACGCGAGCCTCGAGCTACAGGCCTAGGTACTCAGGCTGTAAGTAATCCTGTGAGGACATGAACTGCCAAGGAACCTCTGCGTACGGTACGTCCAGAAATATATATGAGGAACGACCTTCTTTGTGTTCCCGTAGGGCGTCGGGGACAGCTTTTGATCCGTCTCTCCGTAATGATTCGGTTGTAGCTGCAATCTGTGGGGAAGTGAAGGAGCCCACACCCCCGATGAAAGGTTTCCCCACGGTGCGGGAGAGTGGATCTCGATCCTATGAAAGCAGTGCCTCAATTCAGTAGCCGCACCATCAGGTACGGCCATCACAGCGTTCCCGACGCGCCAGGGTGCGCGCCAATATATACTGTACGCTGACTTGTGTGTAACACTTAATAGAGGGGCGGACGCCCACTTTCTTAGTCTCCGAAGCACCCAACCGCCGACGCTGGAGAGGGTCGTTCACGATTCTGGACAGGGAACACTCTCTCTTCGAGCCAAACCCATTTACGCTCTCCTTCCTCCTACTTGAATCCCTCTTTTCTTCTTAAATTATGTCCGGTTACGCACCTCCAATTTCGCACGCAACTGTTGCGACAGATGAAGTCATCCCTCTCTGCTCCATGGACATCTACAGATACGCCACAGCGTTCTCCGGTGCATACAAGTGGTGTATCAATGGTACCCTGGATGTCCAAGTGCTCAAGCTGGGTCTGGATGAACTCATCGCGCGCGGGGAGTGGCGAAAACTCGGCGCTAGGATACGCCGGAACGCGGAGGGGCGCCTCGAGTGGCATGTACCGCGCCAGTTCTCCAAGGCGAGGCCGGCGTACCATATGACCATCAGTACGTACGCCTCCATGGAAGCTGCAAAGCTATACATACCAGGCGCAACCAGCGTTCCTTCCATCCAGCCCAATTTAGGGCCAGACTCGGTATTCGTTCATCCAAGCACTCCGATAACCTTGGAGGAGTACCTTGATCCGGAACACGACCATCCTTGCTTCAATATCCATGTATCATTGTTTCTAGACGGCTCAGTAACTTGTACCGGTATCACGATTCCACACGTACTGGGCGACGGCACTGGCATCTCAAAGATGCTGATGAACTGGCTCACCCTCATGGGCAATCCGAACGCAGCGGTGCCCGCGATGCATAGCTACGACAAAGACCCGTTCGCGCCGCTGGAATCCGCATACGAGTTCGCTGAGGACCTCACAACAGAGACGTGGGAGGAAATACTACACAACATCCATTTGCAAGAGGAACGGGAGGACCATCCGAGAGAAGTCCGGACGGTCTACCTGCCCGGGTCGCTTGTGAGCCGGATGCGCGCCGAGGCTGTCGAAGAGTTGGCTCAAAGGAGGAAGAGAGGCGAAGACGTACCTGATTTCCTCAGTGAGAACGACATCCTCTCAGCCTGGTGGATCAAGGTATGTATCATCTCGTTCGCCATACAGCACAGAGCTAACGATGGATTTGAAGATTCTGTGCACGGACGTCGATCCAGATGACAAGACGCCCCTTATATCCTTTGTAGGATCATCTCTACGCAAACAGCTTCCCGAGTACTTCCCCAGAGATACCTGGTACCCTCACAATGCTACGTTGGCATTCGCATCCGAGTCCGTGCCCATCGGTGCCGTCCGGAATATGACCATCTGCGACATCGCGTTGCTCTCGCGCTGGGCGTTGGTTCGTGGCCTAGCAGACAAGCAGGCGCTCAAGCGTGCCGTCGCACTCAAGTTGTGGTCGAAGGCGCTAACAGCCAATAACGCCACCTCATTCACCTCACCATCGAGTGCGTTCGGGGCATGGCATTTTACGAGCGCCTGGACGGAGGCAAGGTGCATGGATTGGGATTTCTCACCTGCAGTCGCTTTGTCACCCGTGCCGGGCACGGAGACTAGAAGGGCAAAGCCGGGAAGCGTACGTGCTTTCTCAGGAGGTGTATACCAGTACGGGCCATACCCCGTAAGAGCCTTGCTGACGGTGTTGGCGAAAGACAAGGATGGAGGATACTGGCTTCAGCCTTATATGAGAAAGGCATACTGGAATGCTGGCCTGGAGGACCGATTGAGGCGGTTCGGATGGTCCGCGAAACTCTAGATGAGATTCTCGTTTCATTCCATATCGGACTTGCTATACATATATTGCCAACGCACTGTCGCTCGTTAATAGACACTCTATCTCGATAACTTATTAGTACGCTGTAAGAGTAGTAACCTATCAATTTATACAATCACGGATAGATCATTTGGGAGTACTACACCTATCGAAATGTCAGAGTTTGGACTTCAACTCAAGCACATGCCCAGCATCTTCCAAGACTCTGATGGCGAGCTCGCCGACAATGGGGAACAACTTAACGTGAAGAAATGCTTGTTCCGAGCTAGCTTGCCGACGAGCATAGCGGGCTGCGATCCCTTGAGAGATTACGGACAACTGCAATAAATAGCCAGTAGGTCAGATGCTGCCTGTCGTCGTGACAGAAATGAAAACTCACCCGGAAGAGCATCCAGCTCCTAGCGAATACCATCTCGGTGATAGGGTACGGTTGGTGGGTAAGGCGACAATACTCTCGCTCCAGCGTCTCCAAGTCGATAGGGATATCATCCGTCTGGTTCTTGAACCCTCGGAGTAGGCTAACTCGGTATTCCTCTGGGATCTGACTGGGGTCGACCGACCACGGCTGAGTCAAATTGGCAAGGTCCGCGAGCTATACCGAGAGTCAGTTTGCCAGGAGTATGACTTGATATTAATGAAGACGCTCGTACCGGACTACCGAGGGTGCATAGTTCCCAGTCAAGAATCCCAATAACGCGGTTCTCAGTCGGATGGAAGATCATGTTGTCGATTTTATAGTCTCCGTGAACTATCCGCGACCCCGTTTTACTCTCGTCCGGCAGATGTGAGCGGTACCATGCGATCATTTCATCAAACTTGGGGATCTTTCCGGTCGGTATCCCCGTCTCGACGTCGGCGGCCTCCGATTGTACTTGGGAGACACGGCTCAAGGATTTTATCTGACGGGGAAAATAGGGAGTCATAGGGGCAAAGTTGGATAGTCCCAGCTCCTGGGGCACTAACGAAGACAGAGCCGCCAGAGCGCGCACAGCCGATAGCCAGCTGTGGAGTACTCGTAAGGCTTGCCAATCGCATATGGTGTATCACTGACTCACCATTCTCGCCTATCGTTCTCGGGTATCTCTGGCATTCTAGGATTGGTAAATATCCGACCGTCCAAGAACTCCATAATATAGAATGGTGTTCCAATGATCTCCTTGTCTTCGCACAGAATTATAGGTTCTGGAACAGGAACGTTCTGTTCCGATGGTGTAGATGACTTGACATTGTGCCGGTGGATTGCGTTAAGAATAGTGTATTCCCTCTCGATCTGGTGGGCAGTAGTCGATAGCAGCTGTCCTGCTGGCTTCTTCCGAAGGACCCAACGAGTGTTACTGCCTGACGATCAGTACACAACTCTGCAGGGGCACTCGAGGGACGTACCTCGCATCGGTCAAGAAATACGTGGGATTGGACTTAAGCAACCATCGTCAGACTCAACCGCTATTTTCTGGAGATGCATACCTGCCCAAACTATCACGGATAATCAGGAGCTGTTTGTACAGCAATAACGGAATATAAAGACCTTGAACTGTTTGACATCAACTGGCGCCTTGACGCGTGGCACTTTATCTTTGAGATAGGCGTTCAGTTTATTCACGTCAATCGTAGCCCTGACTTCGCCATACTCTCCGCCAATCTTGCTACTAGACTTAGACATAGTCAGGAAAGAGCAAGACCGTGCGGGGTACTCCCCTGGTCCTCCAAATGCGGGGTAGCTTGGCCACCGGCAATACGACGATTGTAATGCCGGTGGCCGTGGGAATCACAGACAATCTGTCTCGTGCGCCGTTTTAGGCAACGACGTCTACTCGATTTGGTACTGGCGGCACCGTCAGGACTCAGGACGGCACTGTGCTCTCTGCACAATTGAAAGCTTTTGAGGAGGGCGCGATCCTCACCACCTATAATAATCGTTCCTTAAAAGCCTGTATGCTGTTCTTCAATGTTAATTTTGGCAGCTGTAAAGGATTACAACACCTGAAGCTGTTTTGGGCCTCGGATAAGCTCAGAACAGGCTGCTAACTCTATACAGAGAGGTTCCGGTTTGAGAAGAAATTCACTCCGCTGTACCGGAGACCATGCAGTCTAATATAGATGCTACTTGGGCTCTTTTCTCTGCTCATCAGCTTGGAGAGGTCGAGGATTGCACCGTGTAGTTGCGCATGCCGACGCTCGGCAGATGCCATCCACGCTCGGCAGCCGTTTCTGGCAGAGAAGCCTGCCTTTCTTGGAACGCGCGAGAGCTTTGGACGTCTTTGCTAGTGCGCCCCCAGGCTCCTGAACCATCCGTCCTTAGCGTTCTCGCTCCTCCTTTACTAGGGCGCACGTGCAGTGTTATATAATACAAATCTATTTTTAATTTATTACCGGATACAGAACGAACAAGAGGAGGAGAACGCTATAGGACGGCTGGCACAAATGTCGTCGCCGAGATCCCCGAGGCTGACTAAGCGGACGGTGGCTGAAGCCTTTCACCAGCGGTCGGCGGGCCTTCACGCAACCATTTACAACTTATTACCTTGGGATTTGCCGCTCGGTGTACTTTATAGTAATGTAAAAATGTCCTAACTGAATGGTATACTCATGCAATGGTTATCAGTAGTACCGAAGGCTGAATATCCGGCTGAAGAGGCATAATGGCTATAGACAAGCCCCTCTGAGTGTCAGAAGTATACCAAAGGCATTTACATTGGTCTTGAACTATTCTAGCACCCGTTTATATGTGTTCTGCGTGAGCTCAACGAGGTAGGTGTCGAGACGCTCTCTACATCGCCCGCCG